ACCGGCGGGTGAGTATCCTTGTCTTTGTTATTACGACGAATCTTTTGCTCGATGGGGTCGATCTCTTCTTCTGCTTGTGCATCTGGAGTTGATCGCGCAGCAGCAGCATCGGGGGTCTCGTTTTCACCCTCCTGCTTTGTGACAGTCGGCTTGGTTGGTTGAGAGAGTCTTAGGCTCTCAAGCTTTTGGCGTTGCTGCTCGATAACCTTGCCGCGGACAGGTGACCAGCCATACTTTTCCACCAGGAACGCCACGTCCTGGAGGATGCGCTGTCGGACACCAGGGATATTGGAGCCTCCACCAATGAAAATAATACGCGACATGCACGTGCCGCGGACATCGGGAGGCAGGCTAAGCAGGGCATGATACACCAACAACGGCAACGGTTTTTCCTCGTCGTCCAACTCGCAATCGGCTAAGCCCTCCGCAAAGAGAACCTTTTCCACCGGTTCCGCGAGCTTAGAGAAAGGAAGGTCGATATAGGTTGATCCTGAACCTGACGGAGAGGGAAGCGACACCGTTGCATCTGAGTGTGAAGTAGTGTGTTGGTCAGCCGCTCCAGAATCCTCCTCTCGAGCCTCGGCTGGCTGTTGCTGTGGTGTCGCCGTGGAGCCTTGGGAAGCCGCCTTGGGCTTACACCACAAAAATCGACTAGCAATCTCTTCGCAGAGCTCATAATGAACGGAGATCTCGTCCGCTGATTGCGCGGCCCCGCTGTCATCGGAGAGTCGTGTCAGGAACCGTCCAGTTTCCTGCAGTAGGGACTTCATAGCCCTCGTGCTGCGCTTGACTGCCATCTCTCTGTATTCGTAGATACCGCTAACAATGGTTTCCGCCCATCCAATATCCACTACTAAGCCTGAACGCAGCCCAGCTGCGACCACGGCCATAGGAGCACTGGTTAAAAGAGTGATGCTTGGAAATCGCCATCGGCTAAACAGGGTTGACAAAAGCGATGATAGGAGAGGGTGTGGCATGATAGACGGAAGAACCAGAACCAGTCGTGATGTTCCCGCATCTGTCAACAGGTATTTATTGTAGGTCTCGCGAAACATGCGCTCAATCTTGTCATCAATGAGTGCCATATCCATATCGCGTACATCCATCTTCCAGAGTTCATATGCACCAGCCCATTTGTCAGCTTTGACTGGTTGCGAGCGTGATGAGTCCGTCTCGTTGCTTCTCAACCACCCTCTGTAATCGCCAACCCTTCTCGACTCCTCTGGACCGCATCCAACCACACACATTGGAGTGCTTTCCCCCTCAAACCCTGCCCGAAGCCATCTTGCCCCGAATTCGAAGATGATAGCATCTTCTTCTCCGCGAAACGATGTGCTTGCGGAGGAGGTGCTTGCAAAGGAAGAATTGTTGGAACGGAGGTGATGTTGGGGCGTATGGGGTGAATCAGGTCTCCCAGATTGGCTGTGACGGAAGCTCATGGATATGGGTCGCCTATCGTCGAAAGCGGAGGTGGAGGATGTACTTGTCATGTCGTCGTCCGAATGAGTTGCTGAGACAGTCGCAAAGGTGGCTGCTCTATGGAAATCGCGGGGAAGGATCGGGAATAGAAGTCAACTTGCTTCAGGGGCCCCGCGCAGATCATACTTCCTCTCAACCGATGCGCTTGATATGAGAAGGCTTAGATCATACCTTCTGCCAGCAACTTTTCCACTTAAGCAAAAGACTCCCGAATTGGGGGCAATTGGCAATTAGCGATTGGCGAGCGCGAAAAGGAAGCCGCGACAATCTGCGGAGGCTCTGGGCGGGCGGATCTACATCGGGCCGCGTCGCCCAGTTGCCGCCGTCAACAAACAACTCTCATCGCTGCATTAGTATTCGCCATCAGAGAGAACTTGAGCTGCAGAGCATTTTTGTTTTCTATTGGAACTTTGGGTTTTGGCAGTTGGGAACAAGGGAGGCTGTCCGAATGGGGATTCCGGGGTAAGTCAGCCAGTTTTGTAGGTGTTGTTTGTGGAACTTTACTTGGGAGAGAAATATATTATCCCTTTCCAGTGCGCAAACAGCACTCATTCAAGTTAGTAGTTCAACGGCTAATCCACTGACCACAAAGGCTGATCCATGCCATCGGCGCTGGTGAACGTATTTCCTTGTCAAGATTGGCCATAACCCATTTGGAGCGCACAGCTAGGCCTATTCGTATTGCCGTGGACATCTCGATATGGCTGTTCCAAGTGCAAGCTGGCCGGGGTGGTCGGAACCCCGAGCTACGAACGTTGTTTTACAGACTATTGAAGATTTTGGCGCTTCCAATCCATCCTCTTTTTGTATATGATGGCAAGAACAAGCCGCCTTTCAAGAGAGGCAAAGCCGTGTCAAGTCGCAGTTACGGAAGTGCACCAATTATTCGGCTCTCCAAGATCTTAGTCGATCTGTTCAAATTTCCGCGTCACGAGGCGCCAGGAGAGGCAGAAGCAGAGTGTGCAAGACTGCAAAGAGCAGGAGTTGTTGATGCAGTCATGACTAATGACGTTGACGCTCTTATGTTTGGCTCAACATTTACCGTCATGGGCTTTTCCAAGGAAAGTGGCAGCAGCACCGGGGCTGCAACACATGTTACCTGCTACCGCATGAACACCGCTGGTGATCCTTCGAGTGTGAAGCTTGATCGTGCAGGCATGATCTTGTTTGCCATGTTGAGTGGGGGTGATTACTTGCCATTGGGAGTCCCTAAATGCGGTAGCAAGCTCGCTGGCGAGATTGCCAAAGCTGGCTTTGGCGCAGATCTTCTGGAAATCCTTGAGTCAGATGGCGCCGAGCTCGATGCCAGATTAAGTGATTGGAGAGAACGACTCCAGTATGAGTTGGAAGAAAACGAAAGTGGTTACTTCCAGACCAAGCACAAGGTTGTCCGAATTCCCGACACTTTTCCTGATCGGACGATTCTGTCATATTATGCGAATCCTGTGGTTTCTTCGACAGGCGAAATCAGAGCCCTTCAACACAACCTCTCAAATGCTTGGGACAAGGACATAGACGTTGTCGAACTGAGGAGATTTGCTGCCGACGCCTTTGAGTGGAATTACCGCTCTGGGGCTAGAAAAGTGACCAGATTACTTTCTGAGCCGCTTCTGTCCTACCGACTACGCCTTGGAAGACAAGCATCAGCATTTCCCGCGAACTGCCCTACGTTGTCGAACAGCAACACGCCGATGCTGCAAAAGATATATAAAAGCAGATCTAGCTATAGTACCGACGGCTTGACGGAATTTCAGCTGGATATGATTCCTGTCGACATTGTTGGCTTGGACATTCTTGCGGATGAGCCAAATCCTCCACTTCCTTCTCAAGAGTCGACGGTCTCAGGGGACGAGGAAGAGGAGCTGGAGGATAATGTGGTATCGGTACCTCAATCCCCGGTAAAGAAACGTGTCGTAAAGCGCTATGATCCTTATGCCTCTGAAAAGGTGTGGGTCTTCGAAACCCTAGCCACGATAGGTCTCCCAGAAGTCGTGAAGAACTGGGAACGAGAGCAAGCTGAGAAGTCGGCACCAAAGAAAACAGCGACGCGAAAGACAGGGCCTAGGAAAAAAGGACCCATAGACCCGAACATGAAGCGAGGTAGCATCTTGAAATATGGTACCCTCACGAAGGAGCGAACCGAAATATCCCGCCACAAAAGTGCGCAGCTCTTAGAGGCAGCAGTCTCGGCCAAAGCAACTGCTGTACCCAGCCTGTCGAGTTCCCGTCAGTCTCAAGATTCTCCTAATCCTTCAAGGAAACCATCAGCGTCTGACATATCCATACAGCAGCAGCTATTGACTGACTCAAGTGACGATTCGCCGAGCCTCGATGATCTAATCGACCAATTCTCTTCATTGAGTCATGCACCATCCTCCACAACTATCAAACAGCAGTCACCCAGAACCACCCGAGTACGCGGCAGAGCTGGAAGACAGCCTGCTTTGACAGATGCCACCGGTCGAAAGACAAAGAAGTTGGCTTCCGCAGAGAGTTCTCCAGCTCTTTCGCCGACCAAAGAGAATGCCCAGTCAAGCTCAAAACGCTGTATGCGGAAAGGGGATGCGACAGACCACAAGAAGTCTGCACTTCGTTCGATATCTCCTAACCATGCAGGCCGCCAAAATGCATCGAAGCCCCGGCGCAAAGGAGACAAACTGAAGTCTGCTTGCGAGGTTGATGAACTACAACAAGCGATATCTTCCATAGCATTGGATGACGCACAATCGCGCAAGGACGCCGCAGAACCCATATGCCTAGATCATACTGGGCCCATGCCTCGAAGAAGCTCGCGCCAGAAGGTGTATAACACCAGGTCTGGCCCTGCTGGGGCCGCTGAGCGCATAGCCCGCCCTTCGCCTTCTGTGGAGAACGGCGAGCCTGTCTTGGTACCAGAAGAAGATAATGCTGTAGATACAAGCAAGCGCCGGGATCGTGAGAATCCCTCGAGTCGAGCACAAACATCGTCCTCAGCGAGCGAGCCCACGGAGCTCAAGCCTCGGAAAGGCAAATCTTCTGAAAAGCCAGACGACTGTCCATCGACAGTCTCACACATTGAATCTGTTGTTGTACACGACGGGTTCTGGACGACAGACACTAGCTCAAAAACTGGATCTGCAGAAGCTGCAAGTACGACCGACACTCGAACCAGTCGCGGCAAGAAAAAGCGGATCGCCCGTGTGAGCATCTTGGACTTGACCTGAGCAACAATGAGAGAATTGTACATTGGTCTTTTCCAATACTTGATCCAAGTTTTGCCTTACCCTAATCTCTTGGACATGCATTACAGGCGCAGTGCTTTCGGGACCCAAATTTGAGTCAATCAACTTCTTTGTACACTGGCATACAAGATATGATATACATCAAAGTCTGGACATCAGAAATGTAGTCACTGCACGTCATTACAACATCTATAGAGGATGAAAAAAGTGGATAGTAGCCCGTGTGTTTGTGTAGATTTGCAAGCGCCCAAGCCACGCCGATCCAGGATATCTATCTAAGTAATCATTAAACAAAAGTCCTTCTGCGGGCCAAAGTAATTATTTCCAAAGACTTTCCCCTTCAGAGTAGTGCAAAACAGGGGGGTAATCGAGTAAGAGCTCAAAGATAAGAAGAGTGGTGATGTAGTTGGTCATGGGGTAATCGGGTGTATGTATAAGAAATAGACAGGATAGGTAGGTGATTGAACAGAGGAAAAGGAAAAGAGGGTTGAAATGAATGGTGAGTCGATACTGCGGCTCGCGGCTTGTCGCGCGCTTCAGCGACTATCCAAGCCATGCCAGTGCTGTGGTAATGAACAAAAAAGGGGAGATATAACGGCATTAGCTGCGGTAGTCCGCTCAACCAAAGACCTTCAGGAAACCCCACAATCCGATACCGCTCAGGATCGGGATAGTAAGGTTATCATCCCAGCCGAAGATGTCCACGAACTCGCTTCCAGCGGCGACTAAGCCGGAGACGACGCTCATAACGCCGAGGGCCAACGGGCCCGAAATGACAGCGCTGGGGGTGTCCGCAGTCCAGCCGATGAGGTTCTTGATCGAGCTAGGAAGAAGGTTGAGCTGACCGGTGAACATGAACGATCCCTCGGGGTCATTGGGGAAGGTTCCAATGTAAGGTACGAAGTATCCCCAGAATGCGGCTGCGGTCAGGACACCCACAAACCAGGCTCCCAGTGTCCCGGCGAAACTCTTGCCCTTGCGCAGCTGGAATGTGTAACGGCCGTAGAGACGACCGAATGTGGAGGCTGCAGTATCACACCAACTGAGGAGCAGTACGCTCATGACTCCGACGTCTTTGGGGAGGAAGCGCAGCACTGCATATGTGCCCACAAGATACCAGATCACACCGTTATAGCCGGAAACCTCTGTCTCGCGCATCAAAGCCCCCACACACCGAATATATATGTTGTTGATCTTGGTGGAATGGTGACGGACGATATCTACCGTGGCTATCGGTACGAGAGCTCCGAAGAGCCATGGCGTAATCTGGAGGGTTTGAATGCCGCGACTGTACAAGTTGAGGGTTAGGAAGCCGATCGATACATGGAGAAGTTTGCGCGGGATCTCATGACGGTGTATAAAGGAGCGATAACGGCTATGGAGAGGTATGAGACCAAGAGGAGAAGGTGATCGAGAGATGTCGTGCCAGCTGCCGCCGGGTTTCGCGATAGGTGATAGATATCCGTTGGACTCCGCATGACCATTCGTCTGCTTCTTGGGCTTTCCAGCGGGCAACTTCGGATTGGATTTTCGGGTACGGCGCCTTGTAGACTCAGGAGATTTTGGGCTGCGAGACCGCGTTCGTGAGCGTTTCGAATCCGAGTTTGAGGTATCAGGTGTTTCTTCCGTTACCTCCCCAAGTCGCTGCCGTCGTGCTGCGGAGCGTGTTGTAGGTCCGAAGTAATCGCCCGAGCTTGATCGACGCTCAGATGAAGCAGGAGAAGGAGGAATGACTCGAGGAGTCTCCGGTATGGAACCGGGTTCAGAAGGCATATCGGCTGCAGATATGGAGAAAGGTGGGAGGATTGGGCCGTGGATCAGCCCGGATAGCGGTCGCGGAGAGATAAGGGTGGGGTTGGAGGAGCAGGCGCCGAGTATGGGCAGACTGAACACTGTTGACGACGAAATCTTGGGCAATTATTGCGACAGAGGATGTTCCTGACAATATAAGGTAGATTATGAGTGTAAGGCTCTATGATGATGGTAGCACCAGGCAGAAACACCGCCTCGGATGACGCGCCACGCTTAGCAGAGGATCGGCATAACCACCAAAAAAGCGCAAGTTATAGAGTCAAGAAAATTGAGCCGTAATCGCCGCTCCTATCTTTAGGTGCACCGGCGACCGATGCGTGCAGATTGACAGTTGATGCTTGTTGACGCTCAGCTGAACTTTCAGCTGACTGGATTTCCTTCCGCCGAATCCGCGGTCCATCACGTGTGCACCTGCAGAATGAGCTCACCGCCTCCGGTATCTAATCGCCGCGTTTCTGATAAGGAAAAATTATCAGCAAAAAAAAGATCGAGATTCCACGGCGGATCTGCGCAACATCTTCTACCCAATTTGGCATTGATCTGGGACCAGGCTGTGACTCGGAAGAACCACGCACACAGCTACATTTACAATGGCCCCCAAACCACCCCCGGGCACCTCTGCCAGAGCATGGGATGGAGTAACGCCCGCCCTGTCGGAATGGGTACTGGATGCCGTTGCTTCTATGGGCTTCACCCGCATGACCCCCGTCCAGGCTTCTGCGATTCCCTTGTTCATGGCGCATAAGGATGTTGTGGTTGAAGCAGTCACAGGAAGTGGAAAGACCTTGTCTTTCTTGATTCCAGTTGTCGAGAAGCTTTTGCGCCTGGAAGAACCACTCAAGAAACACCATGTCGGAGCCATCATTATATCTCCAACCAGGTTGGTCTTTCTCTGAAGACATCGCGGTGCAGTGCTGACAGTTGCGCTCAAGAGAACTCGCATCGCAGATCTACAACGTCCTGACATCATTGCTCGCCTTCCATCCTCCCTCCGCTGCCGGTCTCAAACCCTCCGATGAAGACGATGATGCGCCTCGTCAGAAATTCCCCTCCTCAACCCTCAAAGTTGTCCCGCAGCTCCTTCTCGGCGGTTCGACCACCCCAGCTGAGGATTTGAGTACCTTCTTGAAGCGGTCTCCCAACCTGTTGGTGTCTACACCGGGACGACTGTTGGAGTTGCTCTCTTCGCCCCATGTCCACTGCCCTCAATCGTCTTTCGAAATGCTTGTCATGGACGAAGCGGACAGACTTCTGGATCTGGGATTCAAGGATACACTACAGAACATCTTGCGCCGTCTACCCAAGCAACGGCGCACGGGCTTGTTCAGTGCCAGTGTCAGTGAAGCTGTCGATCAGATTGTTCGGGTTGGTCTGCGCAACCCCGTCAAAGTCATGGTCAAGGTAAAGGGCACGTCAGGTGTTCAGGATAAACGCACACCTGCTAGGTTCGTACCCTTATGTCTACATTTTTAAAGCGTTTCCAAACTGACACCCATACCAGTCTGCAAATGACGTACCTCACAGCTCCCCCAACTCACAAATTCCCTGCCATCAAACACATTCTCTACTCGCTCGAGCCCGCCCCTCAAAAGACCATCATGTTCGTCTCAACATGCTCGGGTGTCGACTACCTCTCCGCAATCCTTCCTTCAATCATCGGCGATGACTTTCAGCTGATCCCCCTGCACGGTAAACACCAAGCAAACGTCCGCGAAAAGAACTTCAACCGCTTCGTCAACTCCCACACGCCCGCCATTCTCCTCACCACCGACGTTGCTTCTCGTGGACTAGATATCCCCTCAGTCGACGTCGTAATACAGATCGACCCCCCTTCGGACCCCAAGACTTTCATCCACAGATGCGGCCGTGCCGGACGTGCAGGCCGCAAGGGTCTAAGTGTGGTCCTCCTCCACCCCGGCCGCGAGGAAGACTACGTCAACTTCCTCGAAGTCCGCAAAACCCCCGTCGCACCGTACCCTCACACCCTCACCATAACCGATGCCGATGCCGCCGCAGCCACCGAAACAGCTCGTAAAGCCGTCCTCGCAGACCGCGCACTGCACGACCGCGGCCAAAAGGCCTTCGTCAGTTGGTTCCGAAGCTACAGCAAGCACCAAGCCAGCAGTATATTCCGCGTCGCAGACCTAGACTGGGAAGGACTAGGCAATGCATGGGGTCTGCTGAAGCTTCCCAAGATGCCCGAGCTGAGAAACTTCCAGGGCGACCGGACACTTGGCGTGAAATTAGACTGGGAAAACTACGCATACAAGGACAAGCAGCGCGAGAAGCGCCGAAAGGAACAAGTACAGGAGAATGCCGAGAACGGTGTCGCGGACGACCAAGCTGCAGGCAAGAAACGCTCCAGCGAGAGCGTCGCGTGGAGCAGGAATCTCGACAACCGGAATAAGAAGCTGAAGCGTCGGGAGGCCAAGCAGGCGCGTCAGCAGAAGGACAAATGGGAGAAGATGACGGAGGAAGAGCGTCAAAAGGTGCTCGAGACGGAGAAGATGCTTGAGCAGATTCGGGTGAAGAATGAAGAAGAACGTCTGCTTAGGCGTGCGGCTAAGAATAAGGAATCCAAAGCTAACGGTGGGGATGATGATGAGTTCGAGGGGTTTGATTGATGGATGGATATGTCCGATTGGATTGGCATGTAGTATATACATTATATTTTGGCATATTGTCTCTGATACCACGTCCGTATCTCAAGATTCTTTCAAATGCAAAGAGTTATTAGAACATCGCTTTTTCTCATAACCTATCTCTTTCTGAAATAATTACTGCTGCTGCTGGAAAGGGCAGCAGACTTCGCCGAATGCTGAACGATGGGGTATGGCCTGCTTGCTTAAAGTTGATGACAAGTAGCTGGTATTGTTATACATATTATCTCTATGCAGTTCAATTGATTCTGCTACGACGAAGTCCATGGGGATTTAATTCAACTGGTACATTGAAAATAACTGGACGGTGTAACTAAGAATGTAAATGCGACCTCGTTGCTTTCAACCGCTAAGATGCTAATGATACAAAAAGCAATGCAACTTTCAAATACACAAATGCCCATGCATTGTGACACCACTAGATAAACGTGGCGGAACAAAAACTCCCCCGAACACTGAACTTTCAAACCGCTCATTGAACGATGCCCATGACAAGACATTCGAGTTAAAAAAGGTTAGTAAATGACACTACTTTTGGAAGAAAAAGACTGCAACTACTCAAAATGCAGTTGGCCAGGAATACGCTCATCCCATGACACCTAGTTTTGAGACAGTTTGCTGCCGGCAATGATCATTTATCAGAGCTGAAATTGGACAGCTTGTTCAGAAGACAAAGCGTATTCCATCTTGAGAGGCTAAGAGCAATTATTGCTTCAACCATTGTCTGCGAAATGTGATTCACGCTTGTGCAGCTTCGGATGCGCCAGATTCTAATTCGCGCCTGAACGCGTCAAGGCCAGGCTTCCAGATGTTGGTATAAGCATAGTCGACAGTTGAGGGATCCCAAATCTCATTGACAAGATCGATCACCTCGGGACTGAAACCTTGCTCTTCATATGTTACAGGCTGAGGCCACACAAGGTCGTTGAGGTCTCCAGATGGGCAATTCTCATAGAGCCACTGAGCCTCACGGGCAAATTCATCGTCTCCAAAATCTTCAATAGTCTGCTGCTCGGGCTCAGGCGCAGGTGCGAGTGCCGTTTCGGACGTGAGTGGTGTTGATGTGACTGCGGGTGCGATGGCAGTTGCAGGGATTGCGTCGGGGGTAGCAGTCATAGGACTCGAGTATCTGCTTGCAGTACGAAGGCCACTAGGGGTTTTAGGCTTGTATTTCTCGGCCTGTGAGCGAGCTCTGGCGAGAGCCTCTTCGTCAATCTTCGCAGGAGTTGACGGGGCTGGAGCCGCTTGACGTGGAGTCTGACGGGACTCTGTAGGTGGCACACTGAAGAGAATTGCTGGTTAGCCAATCTTTGTCTTGAGAAACAAGGAACAAATATGTCATACCTTTCGGAGATACTAGCCCGAGTGGCGGTAGGTGAGCTAGGTGCAGGGGTAGGTGCGGAGGCAGAGACATTTGCTGAAGCAGAGGCCCCGCTGGATTCGGAATCGTCTGAGAAGGCGTCGTAATCTAACTGGAAAGTTCCCTGGACGTTTGGGACGAATCCAGGACGGCGGCTTGAAGACTCATCAGCGGCATGAGGAGCGGGGGTGGGAGACTCTGGGGTAGCATTCTCAGAATCGTTACCCATTCCAATGAAGTGCCTTCCACGGTATGGGTCGGTTGCACGAGCACGCAGTCGGAGTTTGGATGGTGTATCTTCTGGACTCGCATCGAAGCGGACTTTCTTCGACGAATGCCGCTCTGAGCGCAAGGCGCCGCGGACAGCTGTCTTAGCTAAACGCCCAGATTTGTTTGGCTCAGTTCGTGGCAGCGGAATTTCTTGCTCATCCTCGCTTTCAGAGCTATAGCAGAAGTAATCTAAGTCCAGCCCATAACTGCACCCTGGAGGGTTGGGAATCACGTCAGGCGACGGGGAGCGCTTCCGCTTCTTTTGCTTCTGTTCTTCTGCCTCGCGCCCCCGAGAATCTTGGCCTTCCACGCCTACATCTTTCAGCACGTCTGGCGTGGCTGACTCTTGTGGTGTTGTTTCTTCTGTTGATGGCTTGGGAGCGGGGCGAGACAGTAAAGGAGCAGAAGACGGAGCTGCTGAGTCCTTCTTAGGGATGTCCCCAAGGTAGAGGGATCTATCAAAGGGTTGTGCAAAGAGAGACCAAGACTTGCGACGGCGCTTTTGAGGTGGCTCCTCGCTGGATCTGCGGCTACTCTGTGCTTGGCTCTGAGAAACACTAGAGGATGCCTGAGAGGGTTGCGTCCGATCAATACGCTCGGAAGATGGTTGGAGAGGCGCTAAATCCTCATCAATTATGTGGCTTAATGCAGATCAAAAGAGAACATACCTTGCACTTGAGTAGGTTCGGGGGTCCTCCTGAAAGAGGGTAGGATTCTTGTGAAGGTGCGAGGTACGGAGTTGAGCAGACCACGGAGGTTCCAACCACTCTGGCGCTCCGGAGTGGCCGGCGGCTCGGGCGTAGAAGACTGTTCCTG